CTTAAAGAATTGTGACGTGTAGAGTGTTATCAAGCAATTGTGGACGGACGGACCGACTGACGGACACGGCAATATACGCCCCACCTTTCACGTGGGCGTATAAAAAAACATTTTAATACTTACAGTTGAAGCCAACATGCTACCTCCAAACCATACAGCATATCTCTGCATATGATGTGATATAACTTGAACATCTATTGGTTTAGGCTAATGAAAACAATAAATACAGATTAGGTTATATATCTCGTATTGTAATGTTACCTACCATGCCTGATTATCGTATGTAAGTAAAATTGCTTGACTCAATGAAAGTCATTGTCCAATATATAATCTCCATAAAGCTGTTGGGCCCTTTGTCCTAGAATGGCATCAATGAATATTCCTGATTAAGCTGTAGGCTAAAGTTCTCTTTTTTTAAGCTTTGAATCTTAGCTACTTAAATAAACTTGATATTACCTTGATTCTACCCCCACTGATTTCTTCACTGATTTTTAATCTACCATCTACAATACGTTTTATATCTCGCTGCATTTTTCTACCAAAATCTCGAAACATTGTAGATCCGCCAGATAATACTACATTCTGTCAAATTAGAAATACAATAGATTCACACCCATATCAAGCCAGCTACACACCCTCTGAATAATCATTAACTTTATTATCAGAAGTTTCCCTACGATTATGCATCATGTGACATAAAACTCAGGATTAAAAGAACTGGAAAAAGTGGGTACTTTGAAAAAAAAAACTTAACCATTAGTCCTGAAGTAGTCAATGAGAGGCTCAAGTGTGAAGTTGACTGAGATTTTTGAATGTATATGACAAGAAATTATCATATGTACACAAGTCATCATTAGAATGGCTATTAACTGTCTCTTACCTTATATAAACCTCTTCTAACATCTATAGGACAGTTCTGTATAACATCATCTACTACTTCTGATATAGGTGTAGTAAAGTCAGGATTACAAAACTACAATACAAAATAGCTTGCCAGGCAAGGTAATATACGCCCACTGGCAGCTTTGATTTTGAATAAAAATATTTAGCAGTACAGTAACAATCACCAGTATGAAATATCCAACATTCTGTCATACACTTCTTTTGAACTGAATAATATTGAGTATGAGTTATTGCCCTGGTTCTTGAAAACGTGTTCAATTTTTAGCTCATGCAAACTCTAGAAGGCAAATATTCAATCTTCAGCGCAGGACTGAATAACATAACCACTTTTTTGTCAAATTCCAGCAAGAATCATGCTTTAAAGTGTTTTAGAGCTCAAAATTGAACGCGTTTTCAAAAGCAAGGGCAATAACTCATACTAAATATTTTTCTGATTTTCAATAGGGTTCATCCTTGGGCAATTACGAACACTCATGCCAATTTTCGTTAAAATCTGTCAAGAATTGTCCCTTCTAGAGTGTTTACAAGCTAAAAATAGAACGCGTTTTCAAGAACAAGGGCAATAACTTATACTAAATATTTTTCGATTCTTCTGATTTTCAATAGGGTTCATCCTTGGGTGATTACGAACACTCATACCAAGTTTTGTCAAAATCTGTCAAGAATTGTGTCTTGTAGAGTGTCTACGAGCAATTGTGGACGGGTGGACGGACGGACGGACCGACCGACAGACATGGGTGATGGCAATATTCATGGAATTCATGATGCACTCAGCTGATAGATTTTTCCGCCCCTGAATTACTTCAGAATGTCAACACAGCAAATAACTTGGTTTATTTTTTTTAGTTCTTGTGAGGAAACATACCAGTGGTAAACAGTTATGTATTATCTATTAACAAGATCCATAGTCATATCGCAGTTGAATAAGAATGAAGAAATATTCAATAAATTTCCATTTTTAACTGCCGAAAAACCCGCAAAGCTTTTTAGTAGAATACTTATCACTTACCTCTGGATGGAAAAAGATTTCAGGGCCTAAAAATCTCTCATATCCTACATCCACTGAAAATAATTGTTTAGTTATGGCATTTTTGTTTTCATACTTTTTAATCCATTTACCTGGGTCTTGATCATATTTAGTGAATTCTTTTGCTATATCAGGACAAACATAAGAAAATTTTTCCTACAAAAGAAAAGATATTCTGAACAATAGTGTATAACATTGAAAATCCCATTCATTCAAATAAAGAATACTTTTTAAGACACTTGTATTCCTGTATCAGAAGCTGACCAAACCATTTGCGCCATTTCTATTTTCAGACAATAGACATAATACTCGTTACATTCAAAAAACACAATATTCCAATTTCCTACCTTAATTGCTTTAGCCGTTTCTAAAGATTGTTCAGGGGGAATTCCCACCTCTCGTTCTCGTAGTAACTGTTGTATAAAGTAGGTGATATCTCTACCAGCAATAGGAATGTGTTTTATACAACTACCAATGACATACCCTTCAGCCTGTAAATAACATAAATAGAGGATAAAAACTAACATCAGAATGCTGTTCTGTTCACAGCAATCACAGAACATCTGGTTTGCAATTGTGACAAAGAGAAAGTGGTAACCAAATTTAGTCTCATTAGTGAACAATCTTCTTACACATCTTGTGCTCCATGACTCTTCTATCCATTATTAAATGTTTCTTTGTGTTAGTCCAGCGTGAGGAGTTCTGAAACTAGTTTAGAGTATTAGTCAATATAATAATAATATCATTCTTCTACTTACAACAGGAATAACGTGGGTAACACCATCTCCAGAATCAATAACTGTACCAGTTAGAGTTCTTTCCCCTGCTTGTCGAGCTGTCCATGATGCTGCTAATGCTAATACAGCCTGAAAAATTTCAATTATATGTCATACATTCAACTGCTATAGCCCAGAAAAGATCAATTAAAACATCATGCATAAGGGAAACATTAAGACTAACTAAAGGATATCAATGCCTGCATCTTGGTTCACTGACAGGTTGGAAATCATCAACACCTGAATCAAACCTTGGACATCAAGAGTAAGTTTGTCTAAACTAGAGAGGTAACAGAATTTCCATATAACTCACCTGTACAGCAATGTATAAACCTGGAACATTGAATGATTCAAACATGATTTCGGCTGTATATTCTCTATTTTCTGGTGTATTTAATGGAGGTTCTGTCAGTAAAAAATAATGATCTTCTGGTTCTGAGCGTAAATACTTAAAAATACATTGTTCGTAAAATCTTTCCATCAAATCCCAATCTTCTATTATACCATGTCTAATAGGCCACTGAAAAATACCCAACAAATATTATACAGCTAACAATAAAACAGTAATATGTAACTGCATACTGTTCATTAATATACTACTAATTCAAAAATCAAATGAAAATCATCACAGTCCAATAGGAAGATCAGCATCAAGGGTTTGTAAAGAAACTTTATCAGATAATACTAGATTAAAGAGTTGTATCATGGTAGGTGAAATAACAATTAAAAATTAATTGTCATTCTTGATAGTTTTCTATTCAAGATACAGTATGATGTGAAATTGAGTACAAACCTTAACAGCATAAGAAGGTGTATTTAAAGCTTCATCACCAATATAGAAATCTAAGTCTTCTACACCTTTTCCTAATCTTCTAATAGCTTGATCACCAACCCCAGCTGTCTCTTTTATACCTATAGCTGATGGTATAATAAACTGTGGTTCTGTATTACCTGCATATCCCATCTTAGTATACCTGTAAGATTCAAACAGTAGGTTCTGAAGGTAAAAAATATTAATGAGATTGTATAGAGTTTTAATAATAATAATTAACCCTTTTTTTTTTTTTTACATGAGTCAGAATTAGGCCCAATACACAAGGACGTGGTCCTTTCTAACATTCAGCCCACAGGGATAATATAATGAATGGATGAAAAAAAGAAATTTCTAAATTGAGTGTATTGAAGGCGCTGATAGTATCCATTTGCTCCATTCCGATTTTCAGTCAGACACTGAATCTGCTTAATCATCTAATTAATAACAATCTACAATTGTGTTCTAAGAAAATGCATTTTATCTATTTAAACCTTATAATTTGCAGCAAATTTCTCTGTTACTGAGTTTATTTAGTTTCCTGCCAAATGATTTATCACAACTTTAAGTTACAGAGGCTATATTTTTCTTGGAAGCCAAATTTATTCCATTTATTACAATTCATGTAGTAGAAAATGACCTTCAGAACTTTTTTTTGAAATCATTTATTTCTTTGTTAAATCCTAACATTAATAGAGACTCTATGTTGCTATAATATAAAGATAGGAAATTTAAAACTTTCTACTCTCAAATCTTAACTTCCTATATGCCATGACCTATTTCACTGAAACAAGACTTGACTTGCTTTCTATTAAAATCATGCATGTGTTTTTATTCAATATATCATGCATTCTCCTATCATGGCATTTCTCCATTTTCACATAATATCTTAACAAAGGCATGAATAACATACAAAATGTTGAGAGTTTATAAAAGTGAAACATATTGAAATAATTTAACATATAATCTACTTCCTATATCTTACTACTTATACAATTTAACTACCAGTTTTCAGGCCTTGAGCAATTATAGAGGTGATGATTAAACCATTAGTCATATCTTAACTACTCTTGTTTTCATTTACAATATCATAGAGTGAAATCTCCACTTGGCACTTACTTTATCATAAGCAACAGGGATATATTTAATTATGAGTTTTTAATTCACTAATCACTTGTAAATTATTTACTTGATAACATAGACAAAACCACAAAAAATTACACTTAAAAACAAAGAAACATAACAAAATTTTGCATCAAAAACCCACATTTTCATGCCTACAACTGTGTAGATGTAAAATACACTTATTAAAATTCTGAGCTCTTGTCAATCAGAATGAATAGAATGTTGATATCTAACTAGCTGTAAACCAAGCTGATCGGTTTTGAAATTAAAAAAATTTGGTTAATAATTCTATTCATGGAAAGCCTTATATATAGAAATGAAATTAAAATCAATAAACTTAAGGAAGAATATAATAACAAATAAAAGCCCCCAGAATATGGATGGGTAGGGTATTCATGAATAAAAAGATAGCTTGCCAGGCAAGGTAAAATACGCCCACTGACAGCTTTGTTTGAAAATGAACATTGAAGAACAAGGGCAATAACTCATATCAAATAATTTTCGATATTTTGGATTTTCAATAAGGTTCATCCTTGGGTGATAATACACAATTTCACAAAGTTTCATCAAAATCCATCAAGAATTGTGGCCTGTAGAGTGTTAACGAGCTAAAAATTGCACGCGTTTTGAAGAACAATGGCAATAACTCATATTAAATATTTTTTGATATTTTTTATTTCCAATTGGGTTCATCCTTGGGTGATAATAAACAACTTCACAAAGTTTGGTCAAAATCCAGCCAGAATTGTGGCATGTAGAGTGTTTACAAGCTAAAAATTGAACGCGTTTTGAAGAACAAGGGCAATAACTCTATAACTTTATTTTTCGATTTTTCTGATTTTCAATAGGGTTCATCCTTGGGTGATTATAAACAATTTCAGTAAGTTTCATCAAAATCCGTCAAGAATTGTGCCTTCTAGAGAGTTTACAAGCAAATTGTGGACCGACGGACGGACATGGGTGACAATAAAAATTACATTCTTGTCAAATGTCATCAAACATATATTCTGATTGACATCAAAAACTGTTAGTCAATACTACATTTGATCCTTTAAACAATCTTGAAATGTCTGTGAAATATAGAAGGCACAAAGCAAGCAGGAAATCATCCAGATAAAGATTCTATAAAAATCAAGGTAAATATGTGTATTGAAATCATCTTCTGTGAATAAAAACAAATTTGAAGAACTTCTAATAGCATTAGTTTGAATCATTTCTAGATTTATTTGGCTTTCTTCAAGTAACCAATATATTTGTGCAGCTCTGCTACTATAACTGTTGCGTTTTTCTCATGAATGGCAAAGTCTATGAAATTTTATTAAAGGGATTTAAAGAGGACCAGTTGAACTTGCTCTTATATGACTAAGATGATGTGCAAGTCTATTCTTTCATTTTAAGCCTAATCGACTAGTACAGTAGAGTAGGCCAACCCAAAGTAAAAAATTCCCATTTCTTCCTGTTCTCCATCTACTATTAAGGAAGTGATAACAGATAACAAGAAATGTTGATTGGCATAAGCAATATCTAAGAATTATGGATTCACATTTCGTCTCAAGTACATGCATATTCGATTTCATCTTCGTCCTAAATGAATGATAAGACAGTCAAACAGTCAAAAGGAACACACCCCTCTTTTAGCCATGACCAGGTAGTGCTGTCATACTTCAAAGAATGCATTAAAACTCCGCATTATTCCAAAAGTTACATACCCTGTTCCCGTGTCAATGACACAGGCTGGTAGGCGATTGGCCATGTTGTTGATTTACTTCAATCCGATCTCTAAATATCTGTAAAACTCCAGTAAACTTCAATTCAATAAATTTCTTAAACCGGCCAGTCACCCGGAAAGAAAATGGCCGAGATGTGAAGTTGCCTCGTTCTCAAAGGTGTGTGTTCAACTTCCCGTCAAATAATATCTGTCATGATATGAATAACCATTTGATTCTGATATATTTCTATATTTCCCACTGATTTATGTGAAAGTAGAAACACGGGTATTATTTCTTATAAATCTTGGACGGGCAATACACCTACAATATTTTATCATTGGGATTGAGGTAAATGAGTCACAGAGATACAAGGGGGGTAACAATGAATAAGTTTTCATCAGACTACAGTAAACTATTTCATAATTGTTTGCATTTACATCGCGTTTTCACACAGGTTGTGTAGACATGCGTCCCGTATTACAATCGTCGATGCTATAAGCATATGTTTGACCCTTTTTCAATTATCCCAACAATTAACATCATGGCGAAGAGCCACAATAACAGATTTATAGTATGCTATTTAAGCTGGACTATACAATTTTTCAGGCTATTTTTGGGAGGAGTGGGGTGCGGTGGGGTTGGCTGGTTGGCCTATTTATTCCCCACTCCCCATTGTGCGGATGATGTGAAGAATTTTGACTCCACGTTCTAAGGTCTTATTTTTTTTTGTCGAGAGCTAGGTCATGTTACCACTATCAATATTGAAGATTGCGGTATTTTGAGGTCTGAATTGGTAGCTACTTGATTGCCGGATTTCCGTTCATGCAAGTCATTCTAAATCTAATACATAGGCCTAGTCATAGAAAACTTCGCTCATAACATAAATCGCATAGGCTACTTTGTGACGATAAGGCCTTATTATAGTTCATAGGCTTTTCATTAAAACTTTGCTGATAACATAAATTTTTCGCATAGGAGATACGACCACCATAGTGAAAATCAGGCCTAATTATAGGCTTTTTTTATATATAAAAAAAAACAACTTTGCTCATAATATATATATTATATAGGCTAACCTACTTTATCGACCGCTCTTGTGAAGGTGGGGGAAACCGCGGTGGCTCAGTGAGTTAGACGCTTGCTCGCTAACCTGAAGGTCCAGGCATAGGTCGAGATAATACCTTCGGATTTTTCAACCCGGTTTCCCCCTGTCAGTGATGCGGGTAAGAGGGGCTGACATGGAAAAAGCGTCTAGTCGTTCGGATGGGACAATAAACCGAGGCCCCGTGTGCTACAAGCTGTGCACGTTAAAGATCCCTCGGCAGTTGGAAATCGATTAAGAGCAGACTAATGTCCTGGCAAAATTTCCCTCATGGCACCCTGCATGGCGTTGCCCGTCTTCATCAGCCCACAAGGTGCAGAAGAGTAGGACGTAAAACTCCATTCATTTCATTTTTGTGAAGATGAAGATATTTCATAAAGAATTTGCTCATAACATAAATCCCAAAGTTACTTAAGGCTATCGACTAATAAATTCAATCCTTTCTTTTTCAATCAGAACTCCTGATGATGGTCAGCATGTGACAGTTTCGGGTTCGTTTCTAAAATGTGGAGAAATGACAGGAACATATTCTAAAATATCCAAGTTGAATGAATAAAAATACTTTAAGGCATGTTCAGTGTTCGTTTTGGAGATGTGCGTAAATAGGACGGTCAAAACATTCAAAATAGACCAAACCAATCAACCTAGCTGCGTCCTTCAACTATTCCCTTGAAAAAGTTCATCATCTTTACTAAAAAGCTGCACTGGCTGCCACTTACTTCATAAATGGTGGTTCATATGCAAATATTTCATGCGGAAACAAAGGCATGTCGATATTATAAGGAATTCATTTTTGAAATGGACAAAATCAAATAATAAAACACTCTAAAAACCAACAAAAACACATTATCAGTTGAAACTGCAATGACGTACAATAGCAATAAAATCACGTACACTTGAAGGAAATATGTCTTTTCTACAATTTGCTATAACGCCCCTAACCATTCATTGTAGTAATTAAAGCCTCGCCTTCAACCAACTGTGTCCGGTCAATGTGACTATAAAATCCGCCCGGTATACTGCGCCTGCCCAAGTATAACATAGCCTTGGTTGTCCAGCCTGTGATGGTAAATATATCGATATTAGACTACTTGACAAACTCGACTATATAACTATATTGACCTTCTAACACGACCCCACCCATAAGTTTTCTTGCAAATTATAACCAAAAAAGAGCACACTGGTATATATGTCGGTTTAAGTTACTTTTTGAACACGTAGCCCAAAATGTTAGGGTAAATCTACCAATACACCGCCAATGTTTGCATTTATATCAGAATTTCTAGCCCCAGACAGCATAACATCTACTACATGCTATCTCACTTCACAGATTGATTGGCTTAGCTCCGTCCCCTTAATCCACCCCGTTTCAAGATTCACCCTCCCAACTTCAGGCATTCAATCTAAAGTATTGTGACATTGTTCTTATCATAGGCACTTCAAAGGTTCATAATCAGTGAAAAGATTAGATCAGCAATTTAAAATTTATTATGAATTTTTACACAAATTTTCTGGTTACTTGTATATATTCCGCCAAATAGCGCGTGCCTAAGATCTCTACCTCAGTTCACCTGTCAATCAATGATTTTTTACTCTCTTTTGTTAATCGCCACGTCCGCATAGGAAATAGTCCTTAATAATGAAACCTTTGGTCGACAATTTCTAGGAGTTAAGATACCAAACATGCATTATGAAAATATATTTAAAAATTCTAAAATTGTTTCTTTGTTCAATTTGGAACATCTATATATTGTAGCTAAAAAATATGGTAACGCCCACGCACGCACTATTTCCCGAAAGGACGAGAGGAGTTCACTTCTCATTGTGTTTTCACGGCCCACTTTGTCTTCCTGGACAGTGTTCCGTTATGTTGTGAATTTATCTCAAAATTAATTGAAATCAATCATTAAAATAAAAATGGCTTCCAGACAGAAGTCAAAGGGAGACTATGTAACACCGACAAATTCAACACAGGTGAGTATTAGTCTACATATCCGCATTTAATGACGATATTTGCTTTGTTATTGATTCGGCGGCCATTTTTACTAACACCCATTTTTTGACTCCTCCTTTCAGGACTCTCAAGCCTCACCCTTGGCTCTGTTAGCGGCCACATGCAGCAAGATTGGAGCCCCTCCCGATGACGCATTGAATCAAAATGGGGGTACGCCTGTTAGATTAGTTGGGGCGGGACAAACAAATAGTGGAGATATAGTGGCACCATCCTGGGTTCAGCTACCAACTGGTGCTATTGTCGATGCCAATTCTGGGAAACAGACCACAACTAACAACAGTGTTTGTAACATAGCTCAACAAGTAGATTTAGCAGGGCAGCAGTTACTTCCCCAGCAGAATCAGATTGTTGCATCTGCTGGACCCAATGGAAGCATCACCTACAATGTAGTTCCTGCAGCCCCACAGTATCAAACTATCCAAGTGGATGGACAAGAAGCCATTATTATTCCATCCGGAAGTAATGCAACTCAGCAAACCGCAGCTGGTGGTCAAACTATTATTCAGCAAGGTGGAAATATTGGTCCTGCCATGATTACTCCTACTGGCCAGATAATTCGAGCTCAGTTACCACAACAGATGCCAAATGTGGGTTACCTTGGTGGAAATATGTTAAATCTGGGTGGAAATGTTGTAAATCTTAGTGGAATGCAAACTATCAGAACTGCAGGTGGACTGATGCAAGTTCAGTTACCCCAAATACAACAACAAACACCAAATTTCATACAAATACCTGTATCAGTAAATGGTCAAACAGCCATGCAAACTATTCAGTTACCAATGCAGACATTCCCTACAGCTATCCATTCACCGCAAGTCCAAAATGCAACGAGCATGTCCAGTATTGGCACAGGAAACATGACAACATTGGCCAATTATTCAGTTGCTCAGTCGCAGAATCAGACACAAACAGTTACTGTAGCTCAGCCACAAATAGCTACGTCACAGATGAATCAAAATACTGGCACATATGTCAACACATCAACCCAACAACAAGAAGTGCTAACAGAAATAAAATCTGTTCCAATGAGCACCCCTGAAATGAAAACCGAATCCAAATGTCCTACACCTCAGTTACAGCCAACAGCAAATAGTTCACCATCTGTCACTCCAAATACTGTACAGACTTCACAAATACCACAACAAAATCAAGTGATTATTCAGAATACATCCAATGGAAATAATGGTAATTATGCAACATTACAAAACATATCCCTTCCAAATGGTGGAACCATGCCTGCATTAGTGCCAGTTTCAATGTTTAACAATGCAGGTGCTCAAGTTCTTCTACCAAATGGTGCAAATGGAACGAATCAATTTAGCACAGCCGTGAGTCAAAATACCATTAGTGTACCATCATACCCTCATCCAGTAACTACTACAGTAACATCATCATCTCAAGCATCAACACCAACCAATGTACAGAGTTTAACTAGTGGTCAACAAAACTCCAACCTCTTAACAAACATTATAACTCCACAGCAGTTAATGCAGGCTGGATTTAGTGCTCAGAATATTGCCAATCTTCAAGGACAGGTTATCTCCCCTAACTGGATACAAGCTCCAACAACTTTAAATATTCCAAATGTGCGAGGTCAGAATCTTCAAACTATACAAGTCCAAAATTTACAAGGACTTCAAAATCTACAAGGTTTTCAACAGGTTCAGAATCTGCAAAATGTGCAGACAATCCAAGCTGTTACCCCACAAGGTCAGATCATCAATACTAACGCTACAGGTATTCAAAATTCTGGTGCTGGTACTATATCTATCACTCCACAAGGTACCATTACTGGTAGAAACGTCAACACTAGTGGTAGCATACAGCAGCAACAGATAATGTCACCCCAGATTCAGAACGTACAAACTATTAGTGGACAGCAGATCACCAATAATCCTCAAACACAGCAAGCTACCATTATTGGAGGTAAGTTGTTCTCTATTCATCTGAAATTGTTTGAAAGTAAGCAAAGGTGATGATTTTAAATTAAATTTAGCTAATTACTACTACTACTACTGTTCTTACCTTTTTAAGTTTTGAGAGCAAACAAGGAATCTAATTATAGCTTTTTAATCCAGTTTGAGTTTCCTTGATTCCCAAGCACTAAAACACTGTGTGTGTGTCTTTTCAACTAAAATCATACTAATGACTAACTAATTTTCACATAATTAATAGACTTATCTATTGCTCTGTGACCTAAGCCAGTGCTTCATTACACCCTAACACTATGCTCAGTACATTAACTTATTCATCTATGTCATCCATTCAAATGACATATTTTGTAATCTGTAATTGTTTGTCGTAACTATGTGTGAAACGTGATGAATTGTATTTCTGTTGCAGTTGGAGGTCAGTTTCAAACAGTACCATTACAACAAGATCCTAATGATCCTACAAAATGGCAAATGATCACTCCCCAGCAGCAACCAGGTACACAAACTACTACTGCTACTAGTCCTAATAATAATAATACTGGATCTACAGAAACAGTTGTCCCTGGTCGTAGATTGAGACGAGTAGCTTGTACATGTCCAAATTGTCAAAATGACACAAGGTAGGTAAAACTGTGGTGGGTGTTGTTCAAGGACATGTTGCCTATTTGAGACATTGGTTGTGAACAAAGCATAACATTTAGAACAGTGATGATGGCAGTGTCAAACATTTTCATATCTTTTATTATATTGTAGAAGCAGTACAGGAACACCAGGAGAATATAAAAGAAAGCAACATATTTGTCATATGCCTGGTTGTAATAAGGTCTATGGTAAAACATCACATTTACGAGCACATTTAAGGTATGTGTTCTGTGTTTATTTTTATCAATTTGACCTGAAATGCCACTCTGTATGTTTTCCCTAATATGATCATTGCAAATTTCCATCTTTTATTATAAATTACTGTCTTCCATTCATTCTGGTATTTGTTTGGGATAGTACTTTCAGTGGGTGGTGACATGTTGTTTGAAATGTGAAATATAATAGAGCAGGTTGTATTGGTATTTTAATATGGAGCAGTTGGAAATCAAAATGTTATGGTCTAATATAAAGATAAAAATGTTTTTTTTTTTTACCTATTTTAGATGGCACACAGGAGAAAGACCATTTGTTTGTAACTGGTTATTTTGTGGCAAAAGATTTACCAGATCTGATGAATTACAGAGACATAAAAGGACGCATACAGGTACATGATTATGGCCAATAATACACATTTAAAAATGATTATTGAGATATTCAGAGCTTTTGCGAACACAACTGATATGTTACTAGTAAATTATGTGTGTTTCAGACACATCATTTAACAGAATTTAAAAAAGTCTTGTTGAAATAAACATAACTTGCTGCAAGAGATAAATTCTTTCTAATTTAAACAAAAAAAACAACTCTCCAGATTCTTTATTAGACTGCATACACCAGTCTTGGCTGTGCAAAGCTCCAAAATAACAGCTTGTGATTTATGTCATATTTGCAGGAGAAAAACGATTTGAATGTCCTCAATGTTCGAAAAGATTTATGAGAAGTGATCACTTATCAAAACATATTAAAACTCATCAGAATAAAAGACCTGGAGCAAATCAATCAGAGGCAGAAGAAAGTAAGTGAAAGTCTTTCTTTCAATGAATATATTGCTGCACAGATCAATATATATTCGATAACTCATGAGTAAGATATCAAAGAATTAAGAATGCCTCAGGTAGTTACATGTTCTTTTAGAGTTAAATAATTAAGACAATATATTTATACTTAAACCCTTTGAATATTGAGTCTAAATGAAACATAAAAGTTATTATATAACTTAGAGGTTATAATGTTAACATTGAAAGAGTTAAAGAAATCATATTCTGGTGTATGCAACTCACTAACAAAACTCAGTGAAATGTAGCCTTATGTGTTTAACTCACATTATTCTCAATCATTATTAATGTTTTGCATTTGTAGTCACTCAAGAAGAAGAAGCTGAAGAGGAAGATGTCCATAATGAAAGTAGTGATGGTAACATGGTGATGGTCACTCTTGCTGAAGGAGATAGTGATGACACTCCAGGAATGAAAATATCTTTAGATGAAATGACACAGCAACTTCAAGAACCAACTTAAAAGACTGTTGGAATCACTGCAGGTTTTTTCAACAGTGATATTATTTCTGAATGAAACAACACTAATTTCTGTGTATAAAATAGAGTGCAAAATGTGCCGTTACGTCGGCGGATTTTCAAAAATGAATGAGTGGCATTTCGCATCATCATCTGAAAGATACAGTGAGGTAATAATCTGATTAAAAACTTTGATGTATTTTTAAAAAAAATACTGAATGTGAAATATATATTTTTATATTTAAATATGTAGCATTTAAGAAGTGCATTCCAAATATATTGCTACATGTATAATCTTGTTGCCATATCTTGCAAACCCTTTTATATTTTTAACAAGTAATCCTGTATCTTTTATTACCTTACACATGAATATTCAATATAGTTTACTTTGAGTTATTTATTTTGCATTTAATGTATTCTAAAGTATCTTACTGTCTTGAAAAATGGTTTATTCAGTTCAAAAGTTAACCTTAACTTTGCAGTGTGATGTTTTATTATGTTGTATAAATTGTATGTTATTTTGAATCTCAGTAAGACATGTTCATTATTTATACATCATGTATTGTAAAAGAAATCTCATTTATATTTTGCAGTGTTTTTTACCCCTGTTAATTACTAAGTTTGTAACAGCTAGTTTGTAACTGATTTCAGCATCAGAAGACAGCAAGGTTATTAAGGTTATTGTAATAACCGGATATGTTCAGACAGATCTAAAACTTAGAGGATTGTTATAAACAATAAAAGGCAAACATAGGTTAAAAATATTTGATTTGAAGAGCTAAAATGTCCCTCAAAAACAATCATAGTCACCAGACTGATAAGTGCTTGAAAGCGGTTTAGGTAAATTAATTTTGTGAATTATTGAAATGAAATAATTTATTTTTCGTATGATTACAGTGATTGTATATTATGTATATAGTACAGCTGACTACTCAAGGAAACTTTCCCTGTTATATTATACACAGAAAATAGATATCTATAGGAATAATGGACAGTTTAGATTGGCACAGTTTTTCATTACAGTAAAATTAGGGAATAAGTTTTTTATATATAAAAAGTTTTATTCCCAATATTAGAAAATGGACAGCTTAGATTGCCACAATTTTTCATTAAAGAAAAATAAGGGAATATGTTTTTATATATAAAATTTGTTATCCCTAATTTGTGTATATTTTTATGTATATTTTTTTAATTTATGGCTACAATGAAGCTTCCTATAAAAGGTATTGTTAAGTTTTTGTGCAATATTTGTTAAAAAATATGAATAAATTGTATTTCTCTAAAAAAGAGAAATGAATAAAGAAAACAATGGGGTTCTTGGATATATAAAAGTAAAATACATCGTCAATACACACAGGCGCTAATTTAGAGTTGACTTAGCTTACAAAGCACGTTTAATTCTAATTACAAGGTTATCATTCTAATTTTGAAAAGGGAATTGGATAGCTTTAACAATCTGAAATACAGATCGAGATGTTTTGGTGCTGTTAGTTACTTCGATCCACAACTTGGGGAAAATACTGTAAATTTGATTGGGACATTTAATTGGTTACATATTTTGTGACCTAGAACTACTGATGCAAAATAATTTCCTCAGATTATTTTTGATGCAGTTAGAATCAGAGTTTGATTGTTTGTGATGAGATTATTTTTATTACCAATGATGTATATACAATACAGATCAACATGCATGTATCCTGACCCCTTTTAACCGGTGTCCGAAATCTGTAACACTATATAGTGGATAGAATTTCACGTGACAATGACTCAATACTATATCCGGGTATTTCGTACCATTTGTCCATCTAAATTGTGAGAAATTAAAAAGCTTGAGGTAGAACCTTCTCATTTAAACTGTTTTAAAGGGATGATAGAAGAGAAGATTAGTGGAGTTAAATAGTAACGATATCAAGGAAATTACAGAAAAACTATGATCTGAAACTGTAAACGGTTTGTGTCCTACGGGATATATGACAAAATCCCGAAAAAGTGGATTGCGTACCCGAAAAAATTCTACCAATGACCAATACCATTATTACAACGAAAGACCATTGTCCCTCCAGATATAGGCTAAATCAAAGCAAACTTACGGCATTGATTACAGTTTTAAGAGGTGACGCTATTTTGGTAAAATGTTTACTGCCTCTTTGTATGGAAAAAAGTGGACATTTTTCAAAATCAATCTTCGTGGACTGACCATGTGTCAAAACTGTATCCGTGAGAATCCGTCTATAATCCAATAAATCCACAAAACTAAGGAATAATTCATTAAACAAAGTTATTTTCAATAATTATTTAGTTTAATGGATATATTGTGTTACACTGTGATTCTATTCTTAAGTCATTGTACCTGGTAAGACCAAATGATGAATATAAGCATTAGTTGTCCAAGTTTGAGACTATAAATTTTATTCTTAGCTTCATTTTTTATTTCAGCAGAAAATGCACAATACATCTAAAAACGGAATACCTTTCATTGTATTGCATTCAAAATGCAATGGAGCTGATAATAAACTATTTTGAAATGAACTCATAAGACTTAGAACATCATAACACATACAAATCCAAAACCTCCCTTTAAAACATCTCAAAGGACGAAATAGTTGAGCTCTATTTAATACGAGTAGCCTAGTCATGCGTGGTCATAGATATATATATATCTACCATTGATTGTAGCGACCCTTTTCACAGTGTCCTACTTCACTGGATACGTTACTATTAAGGTGCATAGCCATTAATGTCTTAACAATTTCATGCTTGAAATCAAATGGAAAGGAGGTAACATACGCTAAACATCCTATATTGTGTTGAATACCATTATGGATTAATAAGTGATACGTATATAATCGAGTCTTCAGGTAAAATTATATTTCACATTTGCCCTTTTTCCAAATCAGAATAATAACATACTTATTTGAATTCAATATTAAATGTTTTAGTATAATTTTACAGCGCCTATTAATACACTGTCTCTTCACAGGCCAGTAGCCAGACTGGATTGTTCAGAGGGTCAAGTAATATATCCAGAGGGACAATGGTGTCTTGTTGTAATGGAATTGGTCGATTGTCAGAATTTATCAAGGGGGTGGGGAGAGTGTGTATATTTAAAACAAACAAATTACAAAATCTATATCCCATGGCTTATATTTCAATTCTCTTGAATATGGTTTAAGACTAGAAAAGAAATTGGTTGTAAGAAACTGTTTAGATATTGAATTATTCAACCTAATTCACAGATGATGCTCTTTTGTCTGATTTACAATTGTTTTCTTAAGCCAATATGAAAGAGACCAGATATTCATTACATGTTAAAGGGGCATTCCGCTTTTTGTACTTTTTTTTTGCTCAAATTTGTGCCAATTTTCACCAAAATCTAGAAAAATGTGTCCCTTAACGTAACTGAAAATTTTATCTAAAAGAAATCCAGCCGTTAACTTTTTAACGCCAAAACTATTTTAAAAAGATTATGTAAGTTTACGTAGTTCGTTATGCTTTTTGGAAGCTTTTAGAAAACTACTGAACGGAGCAAGTTGTGCCGCTGCAATAAAACTTGGTATACATTAAATTCAACCTGAATACTAACGGAAATGATTCTTTCCAGATCACTTGACGCTGATTGGGTGATTCAAGATCTTGAAAAGGAGAACCAGGAACTTCGTGCCAGGGACCAACACGGCAGTGGATGCACTCATTCAGTGTCAATTGATTTTAAAAGAAGCAATGCCGTTAGTGTATCAGATAATGTTGAATTTAATGTATACCAAGTTTTATTGCCTCGTAGCTACTGTATTCAAAGTAATGTACAGACTTCATAAGTTGGTTGAAGTTTTTCTGAAATTACAGGAACCCCCTTGAATGAGCTATTAAACCTATTTCCAATCCGTTGTATCTGATTGTGATAGTTAGAATATTCATTTTGAATTTTCAAATCTAACTGATTGCTTGTTTAATCACAGGGCAGCAAGAATCAATCGAGATATATCATTGGACATAACCTCTATAGACTACCTTATGAAACCACACGCATACGATTTGCCTATATTAATGAACTTTCTAAATTTGATCTAATTACATTCATTGATCCACAATAATGCTCGAACGATGATCTGTTAACGTCGCCAATATTCCACAAGTCATCCTTTCGATATTTTTCGCTCGACCTCGACATTGTGACAATGTATCGAACTGCCAACGCTTGGCTAGATGTCGGTCAATCAGAGTGTAAGAAAGTTTAAAAACGATTTTTATCTTCCTTGTTCAATTTTGTATTACTTTCCTAAATCTGTTTCGGGGATTTTGATATCAAAAATTTGTATTATTCAAAATTTCAATCAGACATATGTGGTTCCAAAAAGGTAATTTTGTTGAAACTCTGAATTTAACTTATAATGGCAAAATTTTGGAGGTGTGAATTCTTTTAATTATTTAGGGGTTGAGTTAAGTATGAATGGTAAATTCATGAAAGCCCAAAAATCTATAGCTATTTAAGGCTCTAAATGTGTATATTAAT